CCCGAAGGAACCGCCGGACAGGGAAGGGTGGTGGAGCTGCGGGCGACTACCGGACCGCCGAAGGGGTCAGCAAGAGAAACGGCAGCAGGAACAGGAAGCGGCGTCAGTGTAGTGAAGTCACGAAAGAAGCACCGGGTAGCGCCAGAGTCCAAGGTGAAGGAAGGTGAAGCAGTGGCGTCCGGAGACGGGGCGACAGCGGAAGCACCAAGGCTAAACAAAGCAGGGGCTCCTACGCCTGACGCAGCAGGGGAGGCTAAGCTAGGCACACCTATACTAGACGACAATGAGTAATAAGCAGGAAGCACACTAGAGTCATCAGTATACATCACATGCAGAGCAAAAACAATGGCATCCATGTCCAAGTCAAAAATCGGAATACTACGACTAAGCAAACTGTGCCAGTCCGGGAGGTCTGGCGACGGGCCGAAGCGCTGACGAAACAGGTCGTCCAGGCGACGAAAGCAGCGAGGAGTAGTATGGCCGATCTTACCGTAGACGAAGCCGCGGCGAGGACCGGTCTGGATCTGGTACTGGCAACGCACGCCTCCCTAACCACCACCCGGCACACCACTACGCGTACGACCACCTCCAGCGCCAGGCCACCCGGGCGGGAGGACACTCGCCTGCCTCGTCTGCGGCGGCTGCTGCGGCTGCTGTGGCTGCTGCGACTAGTGCGCCTGCTGCTGCGCCTGCTGCGACTGCTGCTGCGACTGCGGAGGCGGCTGCTCAGCTGGACCGGGCAGGGTCCCCTTGTCCGCTCCAGCAGCAGACGATCCGACTCCACCACCACCCCCACCTGCACCCCCGCCTCCTCCGCCGCGCCCAGCCTTGGGGCGGTGACCCTTCCCCGGACGGAACTGCGTGGCAGCAGCAGTCTCAGCCACAGCGGCAGAACCGTCAGAGAAGGTACATTGAGTGGGGCACAACCCTGAAAGATAGGGACCGACACAGTACCGCTCGCCTGAGCGATGGAGCGGTGGCGGGTCTCAATAACAGTCACGGTGTCTACAAACTCGGTGAGGGTGAGCTTATCGAGGTGGATGCTAAGGAAGCGGTCGCGGGCGGCGGCAAGGCGGTCAGGGAGGCGGGTGGCAAGCAGGTAGAGGGTAGAGGTAATGGGCGGCTGGTGGGCTCTAAGCTGTGCGTCAGTGCAGGCCTCTCGCCAGGTCTCATCTATCGTGCGCAGGTGGGCAGCCAGGTTAGCGACAGTGGGGAAGGACGCAAGGTCAGGAAAGAGCATCGGGAGGATCAGACGACCCACCGAGGCAGTAGGTGGGGTGGAATAGCGCTTGATGACAGCATCTAAGAAAGCTTGGGCGGTAGTGATGGACCTAAAGCGAGGGCGCTCAGACGGGGGAAGGGCATTGCTAATGGCAAGCTGGGCGACAGCGTCTCGGGAAAGCCAGACAGAGCGCGCAAGGGCAGCGGCTGCAGTTGACTCGCGCTCAGCAGGTGTGGGGTCAGCGGGCAGCACAGCAGGGGGGTCTGGGCAGGGGAGCGTACCGTCAAGGTGTGCGGAAAGCGGGTGGCCATCCTGCCGCTAGCCAGTGAGGTCGACGAGCCACGCCTCGAACTCCAGAGGCTGGCCTTCAGCGTCGAAACGAAGCTCCGCCGCCATCAAGAGCAGTGCAGGACTGGACAGTGCAGTACAAGGTAGTGCAGTGCAGTGAGGTTCAGTGCGGTGCAGCGTGGTGCAAGGCGGTGCAGTGCGGTACCGTGCGGTGCAGGACGGTGCAGTGCGGTACCGTGCGGTGCAGTGCGGTGCAGCGCGGTGCAGCGCGGGGCAGTGCAGTACAGTGCGGTACAGGTGATAGGGAACCGTACCAGGGAGGGTGCAGGGCCGGAGTAGTCGGGCACCAGACCGGCGGGACGAGCGCAGGGCCGACTGGGATGGGCGCGGGGTCGGCTGGGACGGGCGCGGGGCCGGCTGGGACGGGCGCGGGGTTGGTTGGGACGGGCGCGGGTCGGTTGGGACGGGCGCTGGTCGGTTGGGACGGGCGCGGGCCGGTTGGGACGGGCGCGGGTCGGCTGGGACGGGCGTGGGGCCGGCTGGGACGGGCGCGGGCCGGCTGGGACAGGCGCAGGGGCCGAGCGGACAGGGCGCGGAGGTCGCGAGGGCGAGCGTGGGGCCGTCTGGGACGGGCGCAGGGGCCGACGAGGATAGCCGGGGGGCCGCTAGGGCGGGCGCTGGGGCGGGCACGAGGGGCCGCTAGGGCAAGCGCTGGGAGGCCGCTAGGGCGGGCGCGAGGGCGGGCACAAGGGGCCACTAGGGCGAGCGCGGGGAGGCCGCTAGGGCGGGCTCTAGGGTGGGCACGAGGGGTTGCTAGGGCGGGGCGCTAGGGCGAGCACGGGGCCGGCTAGGACGGGCGCTAGGGCGGGCACGGGCGAAGGGGCCGCTAGGGCAGGCACGAGGGGGCCGCTAGGGCGGGCACGGGGGCCGGCTAGGACGGGCGCTAGGGCCGAGGGGAGGTGGCCGCTAGGGTAGCGCGGGGGCCGCTAGGGCGGGCGCTGGGGTGGGCACGGGGCCGGCTAGGACGGACGCTAGGGCGGGCACGGGCGAGGGGCCGCTAGGGCGGGCACGAGGGGGGCCGCTAGGGTGGGCACGGGGCCGGCTAGGACGGACGCTAGGGCGGGCACGGGCGAGGGGCCGCTAGGGCGGGCACGAGGGGGGCCGCTAGGGCGGGCACGGGGCCGGCTAGGACGGGCGCTAGGGCCGAGGGGAGGTGGCGCGCGGGGCGCGACTAGGACGGGAGGGTAGGTCCTAGAGCGGAAGCGTGAGTGGGCCGGGACCTACCTACTGCTGATACCATCTTAAAGCGGAATGAATAATTGATAAGGAGAGAGTACAGGTGAATATATCTAAGTGTTGTACCCTCTCAGAGGTGACCCTATACAGTCTATGCAAACATAAGAGATACACATGTTTGACACATATATCTCAAATATATAATTTAACACGAACAAGTTTGAAGAAGGCATCCGAGGACGCGGAGCGCTTCGGAGTGACGCGGAAATGGTTTGGTGCCGTGCTCGGGCCGAAGCTAGGGCATGCGTCGGTGTCGTGTGGGGTTGGGGTACGCGTTAGCGGTGTGGATGGAAAAATCCTTACACATGTCCCATGAGTAACGGAATGGCACATGACGAGGTTCTGCGTCGTAGAAATATCAAGTAAATTTCATAAGTAAATTTATCTCTGCGTTCATTTGCACAGATCCCTGTGGAAATGTGGCCACTGACCATGCAGAACAGTCAAACTTCACACATAGCATTTGCATCGAGTATATGACTTGATCAAAAGGGGTTATATGCATCAAAATAATTCAATTATGAGTGAAACTGCATATGCATAAATGTGAACACCTATATGATACATAAACAGTGGCTCCATCTACTTTCCCTTAGTCATGTTTCAAAGGAGGATCAATCAAGCGTGCATACTGTTTCTGCAGCACAGCATTTCTCGAGTCTCGATACGCCTAATAGGGTGGAATTTATCGGGGGCGGGGGGGCACCCACAGGTCCTAAGCACCGGCGGAGCTAGTATTTTTGCTAGCTCGGACTGTTTGGGCCCATCTGGAAAAACTCCTGTCAAATCCGAGCCGAGCCAAAAATTTCTCGGATGAATCAGGGTCCGAGCCGAAAAAGGCCTGAGCGCCACCAATTATTGCGGGGTGGGAAAAACTGTGCCCACGCCACTATATCGATCGGACAAGCGCGCTTGGCCTCGCTTCTGCAGCGCCATGGCCGAAGGGAAGAGGGGGGAGGGGGTCACTCACCACCCAAGACGCTAAGTCAATCTGTAAGTGATACAGAATAACATAACCCCCGCTTTCAGCAAGGCGGCTCCCGAATGTACCTGGCTTTGAGAGGTTGGGCGAGATTTGGGCTAGGGAATTGGGGAGGGCGGCAATTTTGGGCGGGGGAAAAAGTTGGAGGCCAGAAAACAAGGGGATTAAGAGTATTTGGTGGAGGGGTTGGGGGTGGGGGGGTTTCGCGGGGGGGGGGGGGTGGCGGGGGGAGGTTTGGAGAGGGGAAGTGTTTGGGTTGCCCTGGAGTCCCCCGCATATATATGGTTCCGACGAATGGTTTTCCTGTGTATTTCTGGACTTGTTGGGGAAAAGTCTATGTGAAATACGGGCTACGTTTAAAAAAACTTGGATTTTCAGTCAAGACAGGGTGATAGCCCTGTTATTTTCAGCTTTGGTCCTAAGTGTCGCGGGAGCACCAACACGTGATTGGCCCTATAGGGATCGTATCTGTCGCATCCGAATCAGTACAGGCGCACTGGCCAACAGGATGCTGGTATTTGATTCGTCTCCCCAACAACAACAAGGACCGAGGGACATAGAGTCAGTTTGTTGCAGCGCGGTGGAATGCGGTTATAGCCTTTTACGTAGTTCCAGTGGGCCTAAGGGCGTGGTGCATTTTTAAGGATATCGAGCTCGTTCGTTATAGTGTCAAAAAGCGGGTTCAGCCCGAATGCAAAATGTACCAGGAGCTGGTGAGTGGCTCGCAAACCTGAATCGAAGTGAGGAGGTACATTTTCCGATATGCAAACTTCGAACAGCCAAACATGATGGCTCGCGAAACCAGTGGCGAAAACTAAGCAACCGCATCACTGGGGGGAATTGGAAATCCTGTATATTGCCGAAGCGCGGCTGGGCGATGTGGCGAGAGCGCGCGCGAAAATTGCGGCCTGCGTTTGTCGTGCGCACGACTACTGACGGTCGGTGGCCAGACAAACGCGACGACCGTCCATCCGACTTTGCAGGACGATTCGGAGATCGTACGATTCTTGGCCCCACATGAATGCATGATTCCCTTTTGGCGACGATATCAAAAATTGTAACCCGGCGAAAAACGGCTCTGTTCGAACGATGAGCTGCAACTTCTCCGAAAAGCACCACGCCCTGAATTCACGTGTCAGAACGAGACTCGCATAAACGAGGATACAGGAAGCATCGGCACAGGATTACCTATCCCAAGCTCGTTGATTTCCGGAAGAACAGTTTCACCCACAGATAGAAGTCGTTTGATAAGACCTAACTAGCCGCCCGAGTTCAATCTTAACTAGACATGGAGCAATCTTTTGCTTCTCGCTAGTGTCTGAGGACGAGCCGCCGAGCGACGCTGAGCTGTGGTGGTGCTGTATAGTTTGTCCGCTCTCGCCCGTCATGCGGTGGTAGTTACTGCATGAGTGCCTTCCAGAAGGGCCGAAAATCCACCCATCCAGTCATTGATCAGACGAGAAGTAGAACGTCACGTGACAGGACGCGACGCATGACGTCAGGTCATGTCAGCGGGCCGCGGTGCGTGTGCGAGGTCTGAAAAGCCTGTCGGCCTAAGTAGGAGATTACGCGAAAATGCTCATGCCACTGATTGTGTGGCGGAGATTGATCGGTAAAATATCGCACTCACTGTGGCCTCGCCGTGCATCGTGGATCGCACGCCAGTTGGCCCTTGGCGAGTACGGTCAGTCGTCTGTGGGCGCGACTGGTACAAGTAGCAGATAGCAAGCCTCGGAGACGTGACTCCTACTGTACTGTATCTAGTCTAGTGGCTGCTTGGCCTTGAGTTAGACCATTCTGGATCGCGGACCTAGTTGGCCCCACATTCGGATTTGCTACTTGCAATCTTCGTCTTGCTTCCCTTACCCGGTCTAGTACACCCCGAAACACAGACTAAGCTGAGCTCAGAAGCATCGGCCCATCAGCTCTAACGACCGGAGAACGGGATGATGCGGCTTTGCCTCCCCACCCCGTTCCTGAGCCTCACCGAGGACCATGATGACTCGCAGTTCCCGCCACCTACTGACATTCCTTCCCACTCACTTTCCCGGGACGGGAATCTGGGCTGTCCTCACCGCAAGCTCCCTTCCCCAGCAGCAGCAGCGCCTCCCAGCGAGCTTCCATCGTCAGGAGACACATCACCGCGTGACCGACGGGATGATGCGACTCAGCAGGTCGCTGGGTGGGCTGCGGCTTGTCACAAGCGCGGTGCTTCCGTGGAAACAGACCGGGCCTCTCTGGACGCACGGCAATCGCTGCCACCGCGCCCCAGCGGCCGCTTCTCCCTGGAGGAATCCTGCTGCGGTAACCGCCGGGGCTACGACAACCTGTGCTTCCGAGGGCTGGAGGCGTTTCCTGGAGAGCCCACGCGACTATCTGACGATTCTCCGCGCGCGATGCTACGGAGCAGCATGATTCCCCGTGCCATGAGCTCCATTACCCCAATTTCTGCAGGGATTTCGCCCTCTGAGTCGGCCGGTTGCCCCTCTCGGTCTCAAACGTGGGGCTCTTTTCGGGACGCCTCATGCAGCCAGTCCCAAGGCACGGGCAACAATACGGAGTTCCGTGAGCCGGTGGGTCGCTCCGCTTCATATCCAAACTGCTGCAGTCGTCGGAGTGTCAGTCACAGGCATTCCTTGGAGTCAGCTCTCTCGGGTTTTACTCTCATAGAGCAGCCGCCACCTCTCACACGCCACGTCAGCCTCCACGCAGACCCCTTGAGAGCAGCGAATCTTTCTGGCCCATGTCACGTTCTTGGCGATTCTATCTGTAGGGAATGCTCCTGGCGTGCTGCTGAGCTGGCATGCAGCCCCACTTGGGTGGACAGTGCCAGGTCACGGATCCAGGAGGCTGCCCTGGCAGTGGTGGAAACACAGCAGGCAGCGATGGAGTTGAGTGCACGCATTGATGGGACAGAGGGAAGTGCTAAGGGAGGGCATGCTGCTGGTGATCACCAGGCAACAGGGTTTAGGGTTCAATGCAGAATGCCCACTTTCCGTGCCTCTAGGAGGAGCTTGGATAGCATGGTGAGCTGGCGGAGTTGGACCTTGCAGAAGGTGGGGGAGGATCAAGCATTAGGGAAAGGTTCCCCCACTATTATTGATAGGACAACAAGTCAAGGTGCATGCATCACACCTCTCCTAGCCAAGCTGTTGAATGGAGCAAAACTGGGCATGACAAAGGGTCCCACTACCAAGGGCTAGACGTTGCGTTTAAACCTAGTTTGGGTGATTATTTCATTTTTTTACTCGTTGACTCGGATGAAGGGTTGAACACGTGAAGTAGCGCATGCGCATATTTCTTCCTTAAATGGCTTTCCATTTCACCCATCGTACGCTCTCTATGCAGATTGTGCTACACCCAGGTTATCAAATATCGGTCCGCGTCAGCGTGTAAAGCTGGCAGGAAGTGGGGGAAACATTGTGCATCACACATCGCACGATTCAAACGAGGTCAAGGTTCAGGATTCAGTACACGTACACGAACCTTGACGTCCACTCCGCAAAAGACCCCGAGCCGAGCCATATCGATATCAAACTCGCATTAAACGTTTTTACCCCACTCCATCCCCATGGAACACGCAGGGTACGGTTCGACCTCCACTCTCACCATCAATTCCGTCCACTACCTCACCCCCATTGGGCTCGTTGGACTTGCCTGGGGAAAATGCATGAATTCGCGCCCCCCACCCCCCCTAGTCACGTCTCGAAATCTGGATTCTCCTCTCCCCCGCGATTTGGTCATCTCAATGCGAATCCTGCCCCCCAGTCCCCCAGCGAAGGGCGTGTGTCTTACAGTTACGGAACTGGGCAAGTTCCAAAACTGCGACAGGTTACGGAGATCGTCAAGGTCGCAAAGCTCGCTCGCGAAGGCTGAGTCGTGTGTTCCGGAACTCGCGTCCAACACGTACAGCGCGGGTTCCGGATGCCAATTCCAGAACCAGTTCCAGGACCAGTTTTGAATTGCAATGGTACTTCCAGTTCCATGGTGGCAACTTACCCAGTTTCGGAACTACCCCCACTTTGTAGGGTCCTCCTGAGGGTCCTTCGCGAATTCCGGAACTGGTTCCGGAACTTCTGGTTCCGGAACTGTAAGACACATCCCCTGAGCTGCAGTACCAGCTACCACAGAGCACTGCTCCGTTGGCATGAGCAAAGCAGAGAGCGGAGGAGGTTGTCCTGCCATAGAAGAAAGCGAAGCCACGGAGGGAGGCAGGGGAACCGATTGCGCGCTAGGCTGGCATTGATGGGCGCCTGCCTGTCATGCACCATTTATGATTCGCACGACCCCATCGCATGCTGCATCTCGGCTCCTGTCAGCACACACCACCCGCCCTGGTTCCCCCCGCCTGCCTGTTTGCCACCAGATTGCGTCTCGCTGCGTGTTCCCTGATTGCGTGCGTCATCGTGTTGATGCAGCTGATTTTTTAGGAGTTTAAAAAACAGCTGCCCTGCTCGCATCCTGTCACCGCGCGCTGCCCTTTCTGTGGTTCATGTCTGCTCTTTGTGCGAAAGCCATTCGAGGAGCAAAGGGGAGCAATGATGCCACCGAGGGAGGAATGCGTAGTAAGCACCATTTGATACACCAGACTCACATTGCGCTGGCAAAATACTGTATCCAAGCTACGTTTCTTTGCAAACGTACAGTAGATGCTCCGAAGCAACGTCGATGGAGGCTTCGGACTCCGAAGTTCGGAGGGCCGCAATCGCGTGGCACGCATGTCCCAGGCAAAGCACGTAAGCAAGTTGAAGAGACGACGTTGAGTGAGTCACAGCGACGACGCTGTACGCTGTACGCGGTACAGTACGACCAGTGGGACCTGATTTCCAGGCTCTTATTGCCAGATACTGTACAGTATCTTCGGGAATCGCCACTGCCTAGTACAGTACTGTGCGCACCGTGCACAGTCCATCGCCTCGTACTGCACATTGCTTCTCGGAGAAGCCGCATCGTTCGACGTCACGACTCACGAGTGGAGCTGGGCGTAGGAGAGGCGTTCTGCTAGAAAGTCCGACATGTGTCCGAATATATGTCAGGAGAGGCGTGCTGCGGGAAATTGAGATAAGTTCGAAGTCCGATTCAGGGAGTCCGACAGAGGGAGGCCGCAAGTGTCTATCCTGCGCCCCTGCGGAGGCCACCCTGGATCATCTATTACTAGTCGCTTCTTACACTTCATTCGACGCGCTGAGTGCAGCAATCCCGGATTCCACTAGTATTCCTGGAATCCTTTCTTCGCTACCATTATGGCGGAAAACGTGGCAGGATTCCCGTCGACGGACGCGCGGGAAGGCGGCGTGTGCAGCGGCTTGGATGTGTATCGGCCATCGTTCGAGCGGCCAAGCGCTGGTCTGAGGCTGTCCGAATCCGAGTCAGAGGGCCTCGCGTCTCCTGCCCCACTCGTCCTCCCGGGGGCTTGGACTCTCGCCGCTTGCAGCAATGCGGACTCGCGGCTTCAGGCCGACCGAGGGTGCGGGGAGTTCGAGCCAAGAGCTGCGTGGCACTGCATGATTGAAACAGCCAACGGGTCAAGCCAACAGGCACCGTTGGACACTGGAGGGGGGTGTTGCCAGGCGGCTCAAGTATGCGAGCCCGCGGCATCGACCACACAAAGCGGGGAGGCGGCATGGTTGCGTTTGAACGAGGATTTGGAGACCGCTGCTGATTGGCTGGCCTTTGAAACGGCAAGCGGGCTTCCTGGCAGCAGAAGCAAGGGTGACATCAACTGGCGATGCTCCCCAGGCAGGGATGACATCAACGTGCGACACTGCAGCCTGTCCTCTCACCGGTCGTCGTCTGGCGTCAGCAGCATGGTCTATTGGAGTCGCTCCGAGGACGTCGGTGTGAGTAGCGGCATCAGCAGCAGCAGCACTATCAGACGGAAGCCGTGTTCCCGTCGCACGTCCTCGTGCAGCGACATCAGCACCATCGCCGCCGCTCTGTCGCCTGCCACGCCGTCCGTCCATGCGCATGACGACGCCAGCCGCACGATCCTGTGTGATCAGTGCTCGCGGATCGACGCTGAGCTGGCGTGCGACCCGCTGTGGATCGAGAACGCGCGGACACGAATTAGCGGGGCGGCGTTGGCTGTGGTGGAGGCGGAGCAGGCGGCGGGGGAGCTCAGCGCTCGGGTAGAAGCCCGAATTCCCGATGGGGCGTTGGCACTGGGTTGTGAGAGGAGCGTGCTTGGAGGATGGAGAGCAGGAGGGAAGGTGAGGGAGAAGGCTGAGGCTGTCTTAGACAGGATGGCGATAGAGGTGGAGGAAGAGGAAATGAGAGAGAATGGGGCAGGAGGGGGGGTGAGGACGAGGAGGGGTGGAGAAAAGGGGGGTGGAGAAAAGGGGGGTGGAGAAAAGGGGGTGGAGAAAAGGGGGGTGGAGAAAAGGGGGGTGGAGAAAAGGGGGGTGGCGAAAAGGGGGGTGGCGAAAAGGGGGGTGGCGAAAAGGGGGGTGGCGAAAAGGGGCATAAGGTGGGGCATGAATGGGTAGTCAAGTGGAACTGGGAGAGGCTTGTACTCGGGTTGACCAAGTTGTCTACTGCACGTAGGAAGGCAGGGGGGAATGGAGTGCGTGGCAAAAGGCAATAGAAGACTGGGGCAAGAGGCAAGAGTATTAGACTCATGAGTTGTTCATGGATGGCCACAAGAGCCTTTGGTATCTGAATAATTCCTAGGAGGACGCTGCTCAACATCATGTGGCCCACAGCCAACGCGGCTTTTGCTGCTGTATTTGTTTGTGTTGAATTACACACCTGTATTGATAAAGTTGGTGTAAGGAGGGGGAGAAACAGTGTGCTATTCGGAGACAACATGAGAGATATCCCCTTCCCGCCAATGACCACCTCGATATTGTAACGTGCTCCAGTGATTTCTTGGTCCTTGGGATTGCTTCCTCCGCTTTTCCCCTTACCATTCTCCACAACCAGCATGCTTTTCCCCTAACTTGGTTCAGTGGCTAATTGTGCTCTTTAGGACCTAACTGTAGTGTATAGCACCCTAGGGACGGAGCCATCTATATCAGTCGAGCTCGGAGCTTTCACCAGTCATCTCCATTGGCTGAGTTTTTCGAGCGACGTGAGCCGTTCGGTGGATTTCGATCCGCCTCTAAACCAGTCGTGTTGATATGTTGCACGAGGATTCACCATAACCAAATCGAGCACCAGGCGTTCGGTGAATCTCGATCCGCCTCTAAGCATGGCGGATCAGTGGCAGGCAGCGGGTTACGCATCGGGGGGAGCATCGCAAGCGGGAGGCACGGGCGGGAGCCAGCCGGCCAGCAGCACAGGTGCCTATGCGCCGCCACACCAGGTGCTGCCGCTGGAACCTTCCACGAATATTCGGGGTAGCCATGCGCTTACTTGTTATCTTGCATGCTCAAGATTCTCAGTTTTTTATCGTTCGGCTTGAGCGTCAAGATTTCATGTCTAGCGTTGAGCCTCGTACGAGTCAGGCCTGGATCACCTGCCGTTATTCTGGGTTCTGAAATCCCGAAATTCTCGTAGACGTTCAAGCCACCGTTTTTCAAAAACTTATAGAGCAACCGAGCTGCCGAGGCTTTACTTCTATTCCAATGTTTTGTTCCCTCTTCGCGCTTCGAAAGCTTTTTGGCTGACATTCCTGGTCGCCGTTATTGCCTCTGTTTTAATACGACGCATGAACGCGTCAGCAGGGTTGGGACGCCAGTGGAGCGTGGGGTTACCAGCAGCAGCAACACGCCCAGGAGCCTCAGCCAGGCGGTAATGTCTTTCTGCCAAGTTTCTTTGATCGTTTGGAGTCATCCCACAATCGCTTACTTCTCTTTCCTTCGCATTCTCGTCCTTTACGCATCCCTTGCTTGCGTGCGTGTTTCCCCCTTCTCCCACTCCATAGCTGTGCTTCTATACCCGTCTCGCTTTAACCGCCTCATATTCGCGTATCGCTTATCTCATGTCTTCCTATATTTTTGTGCTTTCTATAACTGTGTCCCTACATCTGGATTTCTCTGTAACTGTGCGCCAGGGGCGGAGTTAGACTGGGCGGCCAAGGCGCGCCTTTGGGCGGAGCAGCGGGCCGCACAGGAAGCGGCGGCAGCAGCGGCGGCGGCGGCGGCGGCAGAGGCGGCGGCAGCGAGTAACGAGGCAGCAGCAAAAGAGGACAAGGAAGCGCCAAAGCAGGATCTCGCAGCAGCGGATGCGACAACAGATGGAGCGCCGGCGGCAGCAGCGGCGGCGGCGGCGGGGGGTGCGCAGCGGCAGGATGTGGGTGGGGGAGGCGGCTACGGGGGGTATGTCGCTGCTGATGGAACGCACGTGGGTGGTGGGTATGGCGGTAGTGCTGGTATGGACATGGGCACAGGACGGGAGCAGCAGCAGCAGCAGCAGCAGCAGCAGCAACAACAAATGCTGCAGCAGCAGCAAGAGCAGCAGTACTACCAGCAGCAGCAGCAGCAGCACCAGCAGCAGCATTACCAGCAGTACTACTACCCGCCGGAAATGCTTCAGCAACATCAGCCGCAGCAGCAACAGTACATGTACCCGCCTCAGCCGCCCCCTCACGCCCCTCCTCCCCACACTCACCCCCCCGATCCCGCATCGTTCTACCCCTCCCAGTACCCCCCTCCCCCCTCGCAATACCCGCCTACTGGCCCCGCCCCCGGCGCTTACAACGGCGTGTACTCGGGGTATGGGGATGCTGCTGCTGCTGAAGCCGCAGCAGCAGCAGCAGCTGGCGCGGCGGCAGCAGGCGGATTTCACCAGCAGCAGCAGCAGCAGTATTCCCAGGAGCAGCATTACCCGCCCCTGCCCCTGCCCCCGCCGCCACCCCCTCCCCCGCTCCTTTCCGCCCCGCCCCCTGCGCGCGCCTCAGCGCACCCAGCACCACAGTACGCCCCCCCCGCAGCAGCAGGCGCGGGAGCAGGGGCGCCAGCCTACGTGCCGCCACCCAACCAAGCTGTGGACCCCTCGGTGCTCTCTCCTGCTGTGCTTGCTGCTGCGCAAGCGGCGGCAGCGTCTGCAGGGATGTACTTCGACCCCGCGGTTTATGACATGGGCGCGGGGGGTTCCGTTACTCCTGGCGCCAAACCTAAGAAGGTAAGGCTCCTACAAAGCAGCGTCCGCAGGGATGTACTTCAACCCCGCAGTTTATGACATGGGCTTGGGGGGTTCTGTTACTCCTGGCGCCAAGCCTAAAAAGGTAAGGCTCCAATGAAGCAACGTCCACAGAGATATTCTTTGATCCGGCAGCCTATGACATGGGAGGCGGGGGGGGGGGGATTCGGCTACGCGCGGTGCCCAGCCAAAGAAGGTGAGATGCCTAGATGCCTACACTGCAGCAGCAGCGTGTGCAGCCCAACCGCTGCAGGGATGTACTTTGACCCACCGATGTATGACACAGTCATCCCCCTCGTGGCTGCGGGACGAGGTCAAGAAGAAAGCGGGCCTGGCAGCAGCAGGGCGCGCGTTTGACTCAAACCCCTCCCTCCCCTCTCGCTCCCTCCCTTCCTCTTGTGCTCTCTCACCCTCTCCCTGTCCTCCGCCAGTCCCTCCCCTCGTGGCTGCCGGACGAGGTGAAGAAGAAAGCAGCCCTGGCGGCAGCAGGGACGCGTGGTTGAAACAACCCCCCTCCCTCCCGCCTGTCCCTCTCTCCTTCTCTCTCGCCTCGCCAGTCCCTCCCCTCGTGGCTGCTGGACGAGGTGAAGAAGAAAGCGGCCCTGGCAGCAGCAGCAGGCGGAGCAGCAGACTCCCCCAGTAAGGCGCCCTTGAAGGAGAAATGGACCAGCGCTAGGGGCGGCACTGCTGCTGGTGGTGGACGGGGAGGGGCGGAGAGTGACGAGGAGGAGGACGAGGAGGAGGAGGCGGAGGTGCAGAGGAGGATGGCGATGAACAACGAGATCAAGCGCGTGCTCACAGAAGTGCTGCTCAAGGTGAGGCGTCTATCTGCCCGTGTAGCCGCTCCAAGTAGGTGGGCCGCTCTCGTGTGCATCCAGGTGGGATGGCGACGAACAACGAGATCAAGCGCTTGCTCACTAATGTGCTGCTCAAGGTGAGGCACATGTTGAGGTGAGTCGCATGTTGAGGTGAGGCGCATGTTGAGGTGAGGCGCATGTTGAGGTGAGTCGAATGTTGAGGTGAGTCGTAGGTGATGCTACGGGGGCTGGCGTCCAGCTAAGGGCGCTGGCGTCCAGCTCAGGGCGCTGGCGCTGGCCCTGGTCAACTGAACCAAGGCGCGTATGCATTCTTTGCTGCATGTTTGGACCCACCCTACAACGTGTCTGAACGTTTCCTCCTCTCCCCCCATGGTGACGGACGACATGGTGCGGCGCATTGCTCGGGATGCTGTCAGTTCCACCAGTGCACCTCACTCCCTTCGCACTCTCCTTACCTTCCCACGCTCCCTTCCGCGCGCAGGTGACGGACGACATGGTGCGGCGCATTGCTAGAGATGCGCTGAGGGACCCCCGAGAGGAGGAGGAAGAGGAGGAGGAGGAGGAGGAGGCGGTGAGGGGGGGGCGGGAAGAGGAGGAGGAGGTGGGGGGAAAGAAGGTCAGCGGGGGGAAGTGGGTTAGTGTGGATGAGGGGGAGGGGGAGAAGGAGGAGGAGGAGAGGGGCGGTGGGGGGGAGAAAGACAAAGACAGGCACGTGGAGGGTGGCGAGGAGGTGGGGAGGGAGGAAAAGGGTACCGAGGAGACGAAGGGCAGGGGTGAAGTGAGCACACCAGGTGGAAATTCAGGTGGGCTAGGGGTGGGGGAAGAAGGCAGGACTGTTGTCGCAGGCGGGGGGGAAACAGGGCTAGGCGAGAGGGTGGTACCTGAGCCAGGCAAGGCGAAGGGAGGGAAGAAGAAGAAGAAGAAAAGGGCAGGGGGGGCAGGGCTGCTGGGTGGAGGCCTGTTGGGGATCGCATATGGTAGTGATGAGGATGACGAGGATGATGAGGAGGAGGAGGGGGAGGATGAGGAGGAGGAGGAGGATGAAGAGGGAGAGGACGAGGAGGAGAAAGAAGAGGGAACGGAGCAAGGAAAGGACAGAGGGACCGGTGAGGACGTAGGGGGTGAGAGTGAGGGGCACAGAGAAAAAAAGAAAAGGGAGGAGAAAGTCAAGATTGTTGGGTTGGAGAAAAGGCAGGAGGCGGAGCATGGGAAAGAGGAGAAGATGGGGGGTGCCAGGGGCGAGGGGGACGATGAGGTCGCAGGAGGTGTTAGGAAGGGTAGGGAGGGGAAGGGCGATGTGACAGGGAAGGGAGAGCGAGAAGAAACTGGTTGGCGGAGGGAGGGGAAGGAGGAGGAAGATGGGCATGGGAGGGCGAGGCGAGAACAGAAGGGAGAGGAGGATGAGAGAGGGAAGGAGAGAACGCGTGGGAGGGGTGAGGGGGAGGACTTTAAGGAGAAGAGTGAGGAGATAGAGGGTAGGAAGAGTAAGAAGCGAGGGGAACATGAGAGGGAGGGGGTAAATAAAGAGACCGATGGAAAAGCGACCAGAGAGGAGGACGCAGATAGGCATGAGTGCAAGGAGAAGGATAAAGATAAAGACAGGAGGAGTGATCGGGGCAAGGAGAGGAGCAAAGAGCGGGATGCGAGGAGAAGCAAGGAGAAGGAGAAAGAGACAGCGAGGGAGAAAGAGAAGGCAAGGGAGAAGGAGAGGGGTAGTGAAAAGGGTGGAGACAGAGAGAAGGAAAGCGACAGGAAGGGAAGGGAGAGGAAGAGGGATGATGATGAGGAGGGGAGCAGGGATGAGAGCAGGGAGGGGAACAGGGAGGGGAGCAGGGAGGGGAGCAGGAAGGAGCAGAAAGGTTCTCGAGAGGAGAAAGAGGAAAAGGAGGAGCGGAGGAGCAAGGAAAGGCGTGAGAGGAAAGACAAGTCCGAACGCAGGAGACGGGAGGAGAGCGGTGATGCTGGTGATGCGGCTGACGTCGGCGACGACAGGGGTGAAAAGCGGGAGAGGGGAGGCAAGCATGGGAGGTCGGAGAGAGGGAAGGAGTTGGGAAGGAAGGGGAGGAGCCGCAGCGGTTCACGATCCCCGTCGCCTTGCCCTGAGCGCTCCAACAGTGACCGAGACGAGGAGGAGGATGATCGTGGGAGGTGAGATAAGAGACAGGCGTGTGAGGGGTGGGCGTGTGAGGGTGGGCGTGTGAGGGTGGGCGTGTGAGGGTGGGCGTGTGAGGGGTGGGCGTGTGAGGGTGGGTGTGTGAGGTTGGGTGTGTGAGGGTGGGCATGTGAGGGTGGGCGTGTGAGGGGTGGGCGTGTGAGGGTGGGCGTGTGGGGGCCGGGCGTGTGAGGGGTGGGCGTGTGAGGGTGGGCGTGTGAGGGTGAAGGCATGGATGCTCCGTTGCATTTTGTCCCCTCAGTGCCATTTACTCCCCTCGGTGCTGTTTACTCCCCTCAGTGTTGTTTAATCCCTTGGGTCCGTCCTGGCTCACCCCTTCCAACGCTCTGCCTTGCCTACCCTCTGTTTCGACCCCAGTCTAGTTTCGATCCCTTGGGTCTGTTTGAGGCACCTCAAAACTAGACCCTCTGCCTTGCCTACCCTCCGTTTCGACCCCAGGCGTGTCAAGGAAAAGGAGAGGGAGAAAGAGCGTGAGAGGCCAGAAAAGAGCGGCAAGAGAGACAAGGAGAGCACCAGGGGGAGGGACGAGAAGAGAGAGAAGGGAGGCAAAAGGGACAAGGAGAGCAAGAGGGACAAGGAGAAGAAAAGGGAGAAGGAGGAGGGGGGCAGGACAGAGGGGCATGGGGAACACAGGAGGAGGAGGAGAAGCCGCAGTAAGAGCCGCAGCAGGAGCAGCAGCAGCAGCCGCAGCCCCACCCCCAAGAGACGGTGTGATTAGTTTTTCTATCCCCCTAGCCCCACTGATTTGAAGTCGTGTGTTGCCCAACTTTCCACGTGCACTTCATGGTACCTTGCAATTTCTTGTCTCACGATGCCCTTGTGTAGCAGCAGTGCTTGCTGGACTTGCAGTATTGCTGCTGCGCTGCGCCCCTCCCTCGTCTCATTGCCTTGTGTCAGCCCCTGTGGTTGGAGCAGTGTTTTTGTCTCTGCCTCCGCACAGCCCGACTCCAACGCGTCGGCTTACCTACCAACCACTTCCTCTGCGGTGGCCTGTGGTGGTGTCTCCCGGTTCCCATCCCCTGTCCCTCCCCCCCTACCTCTCTCTATGGTTTAAATTCTCCCTGCAGGTATGATTTTCTTCCTTTCCCTACTCTTGACCTGCTTGCCACTTCTGATCCTGTCTCTTTTAATCTGTCAAACCCCGCTCGGAAAACAAAATCTCTTTGTTTTTACCGCATGCAAGTACAGTTTGCAACACTCTGACTTGTACCATGGTAACGTTCCCCCCTCATGCTTAAAGGACCACACCTCCCCTATCCCCACCGCACTGAACCCAACATCCACGCCAGGTACCGCTCTGAGAGATAGGGTAGCAGCCCTGGCTTGGCTGGCGCTTTCCTGGGCCAACAGCGCACAACCCGACAAGGAGCAGACTCTTGGCTTCAAGGAGACTTGCTTCCCAGTGCAAGGGCAGGGACTGGCGGTTGCAGAGAGCAGCATGGAGTGAGCGGCAGTGCCGCTGGGAGGGAGGGAGGAGGGCGCATGAGTGTGCACAGACTGGCTATGGAGTGAATTTGGTTTCTGTCCTGACCCAACACATGTTTTTTTAATAATGGAGTGTTGTGAATCGCACCTTTGGCATGTTTGTTCGGCTGCTTAGACAGCTGCAAAGCAGGCAGCACTGTGGGGTGGGGTGGAATAAGCATGGAGTGGGCTATAGCCTGTACAACAGCTTGCGTATCGTGACCCCATGGCCATGCTGTGGACATGGGAGCTCCTCCTGCTCACATGATTCACCACATGGGCTGCCATGTGAGAGCTTTGTATTCTTGATTTCCTAGACTAAGTAAATTCTAGGAAATCGGCAGATGAAGTGGTCAGCTTGGTATGGAAGTCATTTTTCATGTACGGAAAGAACCTAAGTATCGGTACCTATAATCCGAATAATTGTGCTACTGGTATTACAGGACTGTCCTGGCGTCGGCTAGCCCTCTGCCAATTTACACTGGTATAGATCACAGTCCTTCTAACATGGTGCAATGGCAGCAGAGCTTGCCTGTTCCAGCACACATAGGCACCAACACCCACTGTTATTCCCATACATGTCAGGGTGCACAGCATGTTAATATCTACTGCTAAACCAACACTCATGCCTATCTCCTCCCTACCACCTCCTTACTCCGTTGATGCTGCTCCTCTCCTGCCACTAATCCCTCCCCTGCTTGCTGCACCCTCCCCTCCCTCACCTTCTCTTCCTTCTCTCCCTCCCCCCCCTCCTTCCCCTCCTCCCCCTCCGTCCTCCCCTCCTCCCCCTCCGTCCTCCCCTCCTTGCTCAGTTTCTTCCTACCCTCCACCCTCTGCCCCACCCCCCCTCCTCTTCTCCCCCCTCTCCTCCCCCTCCACCTCTCGTTCTCAAGCACCAGATACTCCCCAGACCGGACCAACATGCGCCACTGCCTCGCTACAGTGGCAGCCTCTACAGTGACAGTGCAATTCGGCTTCATGCGATCGTGCACTTCAACAGCCAACATCCGCACCTCATCCAACCACGGCCTCGGGTCATACAAAGCATCATCGCTGCTGCTGGCACCACTGCTGCTGGCACTGGTGCTGCTGGCACTCGTGCTGCTGGCACCACTGCTGCTGGCACTGCTGCTGCTTCTGCTATCATCACTGTCGCTGCTGCTGCTGCTGCTGCTGCTGCTGGGGTCTCTAGGGGCGGTGAGATCTCCCTCTGCGTCAGCTGCATCTGGTGGCAATGCCAGCACCTCAGCCTCCGACCCCTCGATATCCATCTTCACAAAATCAAATCTTGTCAAGCCGACCTGCTTGAGCACATCGCCAACAGTCACAGCACGGATAGTCACACCACCCTCTGCACCACCCGTACTTTCCCCTCTGCTGCTCGTGCTGTTGCTGCTGCTCTCCACTCCACTCTCTACCCCTTCCTGCGGCTCCTCGTATGTATCCCCTTCCTTTGTGTCACTGCTGCTGCTAGACGGCACTGGCGTGACAACATACTGCCACCCCTCCCTCGTCTTCGTTTGTGTCCCATTCCTTAGAAGCACCGTGCCAGAGTGGTTGAACAACCCGGCATGGAGTGCATAAACGTTGGGCAAGCGATACGTGTTACGCTGTAACACCTCGTAGTTCTTTTCGCTTGCCTCAATGGCGACTACAGTCGCGTTGGGAAAGAACGTCGCGAATATGAGAGTCGCATAGCCCACGTTGGCTCCTGGAAACACGGACAACGTGGAAGCACGAAAGGTTGAGAAGAAGGAAGGTACTTGATAGCCTCAGAGCAGTAATGTGATAAGTGCATGAGCTTATAGCAGTAACGCCACTTACCTGCATCGAGTACAGTCCGCGGGCGAAAATGTTTGATAAACCCGAATTCGTCCATTTCCACAAGTTGCTTCAATACACTGAAATCCGAGTAATACGGCCGCAAGTGTACAGTAATCACGCACGCCGCGTGTAGACACGGCACCTGGCGATGCACCGCCACCATCGCGCACACCATCGCGTCACGTGGTAACCGCTTTCGCGCGGCCTCCATCGCGAAGTAGAGCTCCACGTTCGTCTGCCAGCGCCCCGCGTGCCAGTACCGCGGCTCGTCTGGCGCAGAATGCGTGACGACGAGGACAAGATGGCAGATGGTGGGGGGGATTATTCGATGGGTCGAGTCGAGATGGGGAAGGCATGGGAGAAGAGTGGAAGGCACTAGGAGACTGAGGGAGGGGGCCGTGGGAAGAGTGGGGAGTGGTAGCGGAGTAGCCGGGCGATGCGACCGCCACAGGACCAGGGGGGTTAACCCCCAAACTCACCTCTACGCTACCCGTACGCTTCCGCCATGATCCCTCTCAGCTCCATCGGACCCAGCCCACACACGCTCACCTCTCTTCAGTGCCTCGCACCTCGCACCTCGCACCTCGCACCTCGCACCTCGCACCTCGCACCTCGCACCTCGCACCTCCCACCTCGCACCTCGCTTCAAGTCTGCTCACCTCTGCGCCACCCGTGCGCTTCAGCCATTATCCCTCGCAGCTCCATCGGTCCCAGCCCGCACACGTCGCCCACCACCCGAACCCTCGTCATTTCCGCATCCGATACAGTCACAATGTCGACCCCCGCGAGCGAGTTGAGCTGGTTCACCAGCCCCCCCGCTAGAAGCGCGAGCGCAAAAAACGAGAGCAGAGGGAGACTGCTGGCGGCCCACGCCCACGACCGCCATGGCTTGCCGCCGAACAGGGAGAAGGAGGAGGAGGAAGGGGTGGAGTACGGGGAGAGCGGGGGTCGCGGCGAATATCCTGGTTTGTTCGGAGTGGATGTGCTTTTAACGGGGGCTGAAAGGCTTCTGCTCGGCGTCCCGTGCGTCGATTTTACTGGCGTAGTGGGGCCTTCCATTACGATCTTAGCTAAAAAACAATATTACTTTGTTGCGGTACGGTTATTAAAGCGTTTCGCGCGTCGAGTTTTAAAGCGACGACGGCCTGGAGAAGCCACAGAAGTGCAGAGTGTACGAGAGTCCTGTACGAGAGACGGATGTTTAGAGGGGATCTGTTGGAATGGTCAACGTGAAAATTATCGTCGCCGAACTCATTCGGAACCTCAATCGAGTGTTTTGCCGACTGTGCCGCGAAGCGGGCCGCTATTGTCTGCCTGAGGTTGAGAAAGGGAGTCGCGTAGCAACCAAATCACGAAGCGGAGGTAATCGCGAAGCTCAGAAGGACGTCGCTAATGTACTGAAGGGAGGCTTTATTGTAAAGCATCCAGCCTACTCTATGGGACAGCGAAGGAACAGGAGACAGGACACTGAAAGGAAGGGAGCGCCGACAGCCACGTGAAGTCAGCAATAACATGCGATGAGCCTTCGCCGTGAATCGTCTGGCAAAACATGTGCTGGGCACGCGGAGAGCAAGAGATTATGGCGTGAGAGACAGAAAGCAGTAGGCCATGGATGAACGGGGCAGGAATGAGGAAGCAAGTGAACGAGGATAAGGGGAAGAGGGGGAGAGAAATGCGCCAGCCCCAGGCAACCAGAATGCGACGCCATCTCTTCTTGCGGCGCGGGTCAGAGAGGCTGGTTCCCACTCGACGCCATTGGTTCGGAAAGGAGGTGCTGTGTCTGGTGGCCTGGCCCCGTTTGAAGGGTCTTGCAGGCTCGCGATAATTGGCCAGCGGGGAGCTCGGAGTCAGTTTGTTCAGGCGGGAGTGTGACTGTATGAGATGGCCAGAGCTTCAATCTACACTAGCTGGCTGCGCGAATGCTTGTCAGAGGTTATTGGTTTTGGGCAGGAAAAATCCTGTACAGGGCAGGCCATTCCTTGTTCCTGGTTTCCAAACCAAACCATCCCATCGCCCAACAACAACTAGCACATGTTCGTCGAGTTACCATGTCCGGCGAATCCAGCATTCGCCAGCTTCGTGCAGACAAAATGTTCCTCGGCTTAGCCAATAAGGTAGGACCAATTTGACTCAGAGAACGAATAAGATTACGACATGTGGCAAAAAAAACGACTTGACGTTCTGTAATTGGCTGAAACAGTGCCTGTATGCGCTGGCACATCTTTCTGGATTACCTTGGGAGTTGTTTCTTCCGAGCACCTTCGGAGCAGGCGGTTCAGTTCAGCATTTCTATTGATTAGCCTTCAGGCATTCAGGCTTCAGAAAGTTCGGGATCAGGCTCCACTGATTCTGCATTCAGAGCTCTCGCCGTTTTCACAGCAGGAGGCAGAGAACCCGCATTCTGCGTCTGACTCCTCTGTCTATACCGCTCAGTTGGTTTCGGTGCCTCCGCGTTGATTGAGTCGAGCTCCTCAGCCATGGCGTCCAGCACGCTAAGCAGCATGCGGTTGGTGCGAATCGTCGAAAGCCATGGCCTGTCGCGATCAGCAGGTCTGCACCATTGTCGCCATTTGTCTACTAGCCTGAAGTTCCGTTCATGTTTCAACCATCGGATTGCCACGCTTCCAGGATTATGCTCGGTCTTGACTGCATAGGGCGTCAGATAACCTCGAATCACACTCTTCAACTTTAGCTGAAAAGCGGTTTAGCGATACAGTGTCATACTCTCCATTTCCTGTTTTCGCTCACTTGATTCCTTTCCTTCACCAGCAGCCATGACCATCAGAAGCAATGGCGCGACCAGCCTGGTCCCTCTTCGTCTCAACACGGCGTCCAGCGTCTCTGCCACGTCATCTGCGTCATGGAAAACGAGGCGATTCCAAGCTCGCTGCGAATCTGTCGCAGCGTCCGCCTCAGCAGGATCAGAGTCGCAGGAAGCGCAGCAGGGGGGTGGAACGGAGCAGGCCCCCCTGGTCGTGGCGACGCGCGAGAAAGGCAAAAACGGCAAGCTGATGAAGGCGCTGGTGAGTCTGTGGTGCTCTGAGGAATGTAAACACTAAAAAAGGGACCCTGATAATGGCGCGGGTGGAAATGAGGGAGTGTGGCCTGAGATTGCACCTCCCTTTATCCCTATCCATGCGTTCCTGTCGCAGGGCTCCAGGGGAGTACCAGTGACGGAACTGCGGCTCATCCGGCATTCGGACGGGCCCAAGCCTGTATACTGAGAATTCCTCAATCTCCAATTCCCCCCTGGTTTTGTGTATCACAGAGCGCGAGGGGTGTGCCAGTGATGGAGCAGCCGCTCATCCAGCACTCAGACGGCCCCAAGTGTGCCTGCTGATAATTCTCCAATCCCGATTCCCCACCTCTCTTTGCTATTGCTCCCCACAGAGCGCCCGGGGAGTCTCTGTGATGGAGCTGCCGCTCATCCAGCACTCAGACGGGCCCAAGTGTGTATTTTGAATGTTCTTCAATCCCCACCTCTCTCTGTTCTTGTTCCCCACAGAGCGCCCAGGGAGTCTCTGTGATGGAGCTGCCGCTCATCCAGCACTCAGACGGGCCTGACACCCACCGACTGCCGGCCGTGCTACGAGGTAACTCACCTCCCTGCCTCCTCCGTTGCTTTCCCAGCCTTTCCCCCGCTTCTTCCCTAACCTTCCTTTCTTTTAGCCTCCTTGCGGTGCTCCTTGGCATACTTGGCCGGGTGATTCCTCTGACAATTCTGGCCCATTTCTCTCCTCCCTCTTGGTTCCCATTTGTATGGGTGGCAGAGGAGCAATTTGAGTGGATTGTGGTAACCTCGCCAGAAGCCGCTTCAGTATTCCTCACTGGCTGGAGGTAAGTCCCCAGCACCAAGTCCCACCTACTGTGTCGGCCCTTCTTTCTTCCCTCCAAATTCCAATCTGCATCATGCATTGCGTGCACAGAATCCCTGCCGTTCCTCGATTCCCAACTTAACTTACCGCAAACGGCCCTGTTCTAGTATGCCTATTTCACCTAACCGTTTCCCGTGCATCACCGTTTTTCACCTCTCTGAATCCTCCCAGAGCTGCAGGGTCGCCTGCCTTGAGGCTGGCGGTGGTGGGGGGCGGCACCGCAGAGGTGTTTCACCAGCTGCCAGCAGACGAGCAGCAGCTGCTGCCAGTGCAGTTCGTGCCCTCCAAAGGTACGTTTCCTGTTCCGTGTAAAAGATGGAATCCTTGCTTCCTGTATAAGGCGCCAGTGGGAGTCTGTACTTGAGCTTTGCCCTACTGCGGAGGTGTTTCACCAGCTGCAGGCGGACGAACAGCAGCTGCTGCTGGTGCAGTTCGTGCCCTCCAAAGGTACTACTCCTGTTCCCCATGGTAGGGGGTGTTCTGGCTTCCTCTATACGGCTGTGGTGGGGGCCGTCACGGCAGAGGTGGCGGAGCAGCACCTGCTGCCGGCACAGTTCGTGCCATCCAAAGGTACTTCTCCTGTTCCGTGTAAAAGGTGGTGTCCTTGCTTCCTGTATAAGGCGCCAGCGGGATTCTGTACTTGAGCTTTGCCCTACTGCGGAGGTGTTTCACCAGCTCCAGGAGGAAGAGCAGCAGCTGCTGCCGGTCCAGTTCGTGCCCTCCAAAAGTACGACTCTTGTTCCCCGTGGTACAGGGTGTTCTTGCTTCCTCTGTAAGGTGGTAGTGGGGGCCGGCACAGCAGAGGTTTTCCACCAGCTGCATGCGGCGGAGCAGCACCTACTGCCACTGCAGTTCGTGCCCTCCAAAGGTGCGACTCACCTCTTGGCCGAGTGAGTCACCTCATGCCGACTGAGTCACCTCATGGCAGCATGAGTCACCCATGGCCGAGTGAGTCGCCTCGTGGCCAAGTGAGTCGCCTCGTGGCCGAGTGAATCACCTCATGGCCGAGTGAATCACCTCATGGCCGAGTGAATCACCCCGTGGCCGAGTGAGTCACATCGTGGCCGAGTGAGTCACATCGTGGCCGAGTGAGTCACCTCATGGCCGAGTGAGTCACCTCGTGGCCGAGTGAGTTACCCCATGGCCGAGTGAGTCATCTCACGGTCGAGTGAGTCCCCTCATAGCCGAGTGAGTCACCCCGTGGCCGAGTGAGTCACCCCGTGGTCACCTCGTGGCCAAGTGAGTCACCTCATGCCCAAGTGAACCGCCGCATGGCCGAGTGCGTCACCTCACGACCGAGTGAGTCCCCTCATAGCCAAGTGACTCACCCCGTGGCCGAGTGAGTCATCCCGTGGCCGTATGAGTCGCCGCATGGCCGAGTGACTCACCTCGTGGCCGAGTGAGTCACCCCGGTGCCGAGTGACCCAACTCTTGTTCCCAACTCATGCTCCCTCCCCTTTCCCCACCCCTTCCACCCTCACTTCTCCCTCCCATCCTCCACCCATCCACGGCTAAGTACCTCTAAGCAGAGATTCCTGAGATCGAACATTGCAGTCCCTGAGAGCGTGGGGTTAACTCATACTCCCCATTTCCCCCTTTTCCCACCACCGGCCCCCGCACCCTCATTCCTCGCCCATCTTCCATGCAGCCACGGCCAAGTACCTGTCAGCGGAGATTCCTGAGATCGATGGTGGTAACCGGCGGGTGCTCTACCCCGCATCAGCCAAAGCCAGCCACGACCTTGGTGAGTGCTCTGGTCACGAGCTTGGTGCTTCCCGTGGTTAATCAGAGGGTTTGCATCTCTATTGGTAAGGCTGAGGCTACTCTGGATCAGCTTCTCTAGTGGGGGTGCCTGTCACCAGCGAGATTGATGCGTGACCGTCAGATTCTGATTGCCATGTGCATGTCCGTGTGTGTGAGCATGTGTATGTGTGTTCGCGTTTGTGACTGCAGAGAATGGGCTGGCGAGCAGAGGCTTCCTGGTGACACGGCTCAACACATACTCCACGGTAAGACGCAGGGCACTCATGTGGTGCACATTCAAGTGCTTTGCCTTGATACCAGCCTCACGCTCAATATGCTCTGTCTCTGGCACGGCATGCGGCTGTCTTCCTCATCTCGAGATGCATGTCTTTTCCAGCGCCTTTATCACTCAATGCCCTTATCAATTGCCCCCCCTCTGTTCAGTGTTTCCCTTTCCATGTTCACCTTCGTCCTTCCCCGCCCTGTCTGTGTGCGAGCACCAGGAGTCAGTGACCAGCACTGACGAGGACACCATATAAAGGGCAGGCAGCAATGCTTGAGACACTAAGAGAGAGCACGTCCAACTTTCCCTTTTCCCCTGTTCTCTCCCGCCATGTCTCTGTGTGGTGGCTCCAGGAGTCGGTGACCAGTGTGGACGAGGACACCATACGGAGGGCAGCCAAGGCTCCTGTTGTCGCCGTTGCTTCTCCTACAGCTGTCAGGTGAGCTATGTCAGGCTAGCAACGTCAGACTAGCGATGTGAGGTGAGCAACTTCTGGCTAGAAATGTCAGGCTAGCGATGTGAGGTGAGCAATGTCAGGCTAGAAATGTGAGGTTAGCAAACTCGAGTGAGCAGTGGCAGGTTTGTGCATCTGCACACTCAACACTGCGAACCCTCAGTCTTAATGCCGTGCTTCCAGTTACCCCCTTCTGCATCCAAGCATGGGCGGAGGTGCTGGCATCATGCACGCAGTGGGCTCGCCTGTCTCTATATTCTCCACCAGCTCTCGTCTCCCCCCCGCTCACCTCTTCTCACCCCTGGCATCTCTCCTGCCACTCCTCCTCCCCAATATTTCCTCCTCCAGGGCGTGGATGGAGGTGGTGGCATCACGCACGCAGTGGGACGGGGCTGCAGCGTGCATTGGGGGAACTTCAGCAGAGGCCGCAAGAAGAGCCGGAATCCAGAGGGTGTTTGCACCAGATAGCCCTGGAATTGAAAGGTAAGCATGTTCAGGCTACACATACCGTAACTGGTAAGTTGGAACACAGGGTAGGGTTGCTCAGGTTCCGCATACTGTAGCTGGCAGTAACCCCTAGGCAAGCTTGCTCGGGCTACGCATTTACGAGCTCCTCTCTATTATGACTCTCTTGCACCCTCATGTCTCCCCTTACCCCTTTGTTCCCCCCATCTCTCCGCAGCTGGGTGGCCAGTGTGATGGAAGCCTTAGAAGCTGCCCCTGCTGAAGCCTAGGCATAGCGCACCAGGTCTTGGAAGCTATTCGTACGGGAGACACTTAGCAGATTATTGCAGGCCAGCTAGAATAACTGTGGAAGATTTGCAGGAGATATGGTATTGGTAAATATTGGAATCCAGCAGAGCAGCACCATGGCCCATGGAGTGCAGCGCACTGGTAGCCGCTAGTCGGCGTCCTTGAAGGTGAACACCTCGGCCATCTGCTCTATGAGCTTCACCCTCATCTCAGTCGCATTGTAAATACAGTACAAGGCAACAATGACTGCTGCAGCACTAGTCCGCGTGGAGTATGGGGTTAGTCGGCATCTTTGAAGGGGTACACCTCGGCCATCTGCTCTATGAGCTTCACCCTCATTTCAAACGCGTCGTCACCCCGCAGCATGTCGCGCACAAACTTCACCTCTACCCGTAGCGATACCTGCAAGCAGAGCAAGTCAAAACGAGTGGCAAGAGAGGCCCAAGACTTGAAGGTGCGCTGCGCTGACGGATGAAAATGCATTCGGGGAGAGAAGGTGTAGAGTGGAGGCGAGCAGGAAGGGATGCTGGTTCACAATCCCCCCAAAAGCAACAGCTCACTTGGGAGCAACAGCTGATGCAGGCAGGCCACAACCATCGGTGCCATACATGTCCTTCGGCCTTCCGTCGTCCTCCAATGGTCATACCATCAGTGCCATACCTGTCCCCAGCAACCGTACCTGTCCCAGATTGCCCCTAATGGCATTGCCCAGCAGGTTGCAGTAGAAGAGCGAGCTGCAGGACTTGGGCAGCTCTACAAAGCACACCAGGGGGTTGTTGTCGTAGACCGCACACCTGCTCTACAAACCCATACCATGCCTGTTACATATTCAAGATTCAAGATTCCAGTTCCCAGAGCCGCATACCTGTTCCAGCGCCCCCCTGATGACACCGCACAGCAGGTTGCAGTAGACCAAGGAGCTGCAGGACTCTGGGAGCTCAACGAAGTCCACCAGGGGGTTGTCGTCCAGCACCAGGCTGCACTCGCTGCCCTCTGCGTTCCAGTTGGTCACCGTGGCCGTCACGCCCAGAAACATCTTGAAGCCGAGCTGCGAGAACCAAGGTGGAGAGAGGGGGAGGGGAAGGGCGCAGTGGCACTTAAAAAGATCACAGTGGCAGGCACCAGGTGAGAGAACGCTGGAGATACATCCCTACCTTTGGGTTGGCATTAGGCTTCTAGCCTTGGCAATGATCTCTAACCCTGGGTATGACAGCCGACCCTTGCAATGATGGCTGACCTTGGCAATGATAACTGACCTTGGCAATGATAACTGACCTTGGCAATGATGGCTGACCTATGCAATGATGGCTGACCTTGGCAATGATGGCTGACCTTTGCAATGATGGCTGACCTTTGCAATGATGGCTGACCTTGGCAATGATGGCTGACCTTTGCAATGATGGCTGACCTTTGCAATGATGGCTGACCTTTGCAATGATGGCTGACCTTTGCAATGATGGCTGACCTTTGCAATGATGGCTGACCTTTGCAATGATGGCTGACCTTTGCAATGACGGCTGACCTTTGCAATGATGGCTGACCTTGGCAATGATGGCTGACCTTTGAAATGATGGCTGACCTTTGCAATGATGGCTGACCTTGGCAATGATGGCTGACCTTGGCAATGATGGCTGACCTTTGCAATGATGGCTGACCTTTGCAATGATGGCTGACCTTTGCAATGATGTCAGCAGTTTCCTTGAAGTCAGAGCAGCGCGTGACATTGGCCTTGGAGAGAAACTCGTCTATCAGCCGCACCCCAATGTTGTAACCCCTGCACGTGGTAACCACCACACACAGGTAGGAAGGATGCAGGGAGAGGGGACACATTAGGTGGCACATGAGGCCTGTATCGTATGATGTGGCGCACATGGCTCCTACCAGCTCACATGCCGCAGCGCGCAATGCACACCGCACAACGCACAATGCACACCGCACAACGCACAACGCACAACGCCACCACACCGCACAGTTCCGCGCAGCACCCAGTAGCACTCGCATGGCGTCGAGCAGCCACCCCATGGCTACTACTCCTGTCACAGTGAGACATCCAGCACCGCACTGCACCACACAGCACGCACCCAGCACCGCACTGCACCACTGCACAGCACTCACACGAGCTGTTTATTGACCTCTTCTATATCCTCCAAGTCCGCCAGCAGTTGTCGCACCAAGGCTACTGCTCTCACAGGACCACACCTCATATGTCACAGCAAGCACCAGACGTCACCACACAGCACCTACTCAGCACCGCACTGCACCCTATATCACTCACATTGCATCCAGCTGCTTGTTGACCTCCTCTATGTCCTCCAGGTCCGTCAGCAGCTGCCGCACCATGGCGCCGTACGTCAGCGTGAAGAGCTCCGCATTCTGGCATGCGGGGTAGAAGGGAGTGGCATGAGGGGTAGAAGGGAGTGGCATGAGGGGCAGAAGGGAGAGGTGTGAGAGCATGTTGCCTTGATTGCATCGCCATGAGGTGGAATGGCGCTGTGTGTGAGTCAGGGGACACACGGCGGAACGCGTGAGGAGCTCCGCGTTGACTTTTGAGTCGACTCAAAAGTCATCTCGCTGTGTGTGAGTCAGGGGACACACGGTGGAACGCGTGAGGAGCTCCGCGTTCTGGTGGAGAGACAGGGGAAACACGGTGGTGTAACGGCATGTCAGCATGCTGCCGCACCATGGCGCCGTGCGTGAGCGTCAACAGGTCCGCGTTCTGATGGGCGGGGTGAGACGGAATGGGCGGGGAACAGTGGCGTGATGGCATAACGCTATGGTGACGCGATTATGCCACCCTGACGGACGGCATAATGCATGCCGCCGTCCGTTAGAGTGAACTGCTCCCAGGGACGGAGCAGGGGGCACACGGTGGTGTGGCAGAACAAATTAGGGCTTCCATGGCGTTACAGCCTGGATGCTTAGCAGCCACGCACCACTCGCTCCATGCTCGACATGCCCGCGTCGCCCGGCCGCGATGCCTTCTGCATGGCGGCGAGGGGGACGACGCGACGAGCGACGAGCAACGCGGCGCGTGGTGCACGGGTCACTCAGTGACGATGGGATGCGAAATTCGCGAGACAAATCGCCAGGCAGATGACGCTCCAGTGAAAGGCAGCTCGCGAGCAAGACTGATCCGACGCAATGCGATTAGCAGATTCGATTAGCAGATTAGCGATGCGATGCGAAGCGATGCGATTACCAAATGAGGATGGTGGGTTGTAATTATGGATAGGCCTGCTTGGGAGGGAAGGATGGTGTTTCTGCCCCAATCAACTGCCAAATACTATCTGCCCCAGTGAAAGGCAGCTCGCTTTCCACAACGCATCTCTAATTGCTAGAAATACGATTTAGAGTGACTGGTCGTTTGCTTCAACATTATTTGGTGGAGGACAAATTGGCAATCTCCAGGGTCCTGGGCTGATGGACCCGCAACCGACCTTAGGGCGTGTGACTTTTTGCAAAATTGTCGAAGGTTCGTACCGTCACCACTCTGTACCGCGGTTCTACCCGTCTGCAACCTCCACAATTGTCCTTTACTACTCTAGAAGTTCGTACTGGAGGCTTGTTCGTACCATAAGTCACACGCCCTTAGGGCGTGTTATTAAAGTACGTTCGATTGCGGTTAGTTCAGATATTTTATGTTATGTAGCGGCCAAATAAGAATACAAAAGGGTGGAGTATGGTATTTTGCCTAAACACATAATTTGGGAGACACCCTATCGGGTCGGGTGTTACAAAGGGCAATGCGGTGTACCCGACGGATCCGACGGTTGTGAAGTTTGGGACTCTCGACCCTTGCACAATCAGCAATCCAACCTGCAGATCTGACGGTTTAGAATCCAAACGCCTGCGTCATCGAAACTTTCAGCTGTTTCCCGGCCATCGATCTAGCAGCGTGCCAGATCGCAGCTCTCGAATTTCCGGTCCTCTGTGGCTGCGCAAGCAATTCCAGCGAGGTTCTCCGCCTGAACATTTGAGAGGCACACTGTGATCCCTCGATGGAATCACCTGCCCGCAGAACGAGGCCATTGAGAGCTCACAGTGCTGCGCTGGACTGGAGCAGAATGGGATGGGATGTGGCCCATATTGGTTCTCCAAGAGCCCATCTGTATGGGTGTGGCCAGTTGTCCCAAACTATGTCATCGCCTCGCTTGCTGTACGATTCCGACCCAGCCCGCACATCAAGATCACTGGTCATTCCCAGCCATCGACCAATTTGCAGCATCCCGGATCTCACGTTCTTGGATCTTCGATCCACTTCTAGCCGCGCACAGCGAGTCCAGCGAGGCCAGTCTTCTCGATCGTTGTTTGCACGCGTGTCGCGTGACAAGGCGTGAATTCACTGTGCTCGTGCAAGCGCGACCTGTGCTGGAACAATGTGCGAGTCGCTCCCATGGCGGAACAGCGATTCTTGGATCGACGGCGTCCCTCCAAGAATCATCTGAGCGGTTTGTGGCGAGCCCCCCCGCGGCTCGTTCCTCTGTCCATCCTGGGCCACCGCTCCAGTGACGCGCGGCTTGGCCCAAGGAGGGCGCTCAGATAACGCGCGTCACTCAACGGGCGTGGTGCACACACACCGCATGACAGGCAGCCCACCATCACTGCTTGTACTCGTCAGTCATTCAGAGCCGGCTCTTCTGCTCCTCTCCTAATAGCAGGCCCCGATTCCTCGTAAGCTGTTGAGACCCCCCTCGTTTGCCTGTACGCTATCGAGTCCAGCCTCGTTTGCTCAGCTTCTGTAAGCAATTCTGCTCGAAACAGTCCTCCCGTAGTAACGCTTCACCTCGTGTCGTCCCCCAGTCGTCCCAGTCATTACCCTGTCATCTCCCTGTCATCCTCCTGTCATCACCTTCACATGGCGCCGCTCCGAGCAACAATCTCCCGCCACTGCCGCTGGCAGTGCGTGCTCATTTGTGAGCATCCTTCCGTCCAATAAAGTTGACGCCCTTGGTGGTGCATTCATGGCAGGTGCATGCATGGCAGGTGCATGCATGGCAGGTGCATGCATGGCAGGTGCACTCACGGCTCTGCCGCCGGTCCAATACAGTGAGATTCTGACCAAAGCTCGCCCTGCTGCTTGCGCTCTGCAGGTGTAGCGCTCTTCGCAGCAGCTGCAGCATCATCAGATCCAGAGTCCCCTCCAGCGGAACCCCCGGCGTCGCCTGCAGCGCCGCCCTCGACGTCCCCCCCATCATCCCCGCCGACATCCCCCTCATCGTCTCCCCCATTTTCCCCCCCAACGTCCCCCCCAACGTCCCCCCCGGAGTCCCCCCTGGAGTCCCCCCCAGCCCCCCTCCCGGAGTCTCTCTTCGCGCCCCTGTCAGCGGCCCTCCCAGACAGGCTCTCTGGCGCCTCCTTCACTCAGGGCCGGCCCTTGGTGAAAGGCAGGGTGTTTGGTGAGTGCCCTGCAGTGCCTTTCGCATCATGCCTGCTCTTCCAATCCCTTGGACTCTGCTGTGCTTTCACCAGGCGAAGGTGTACCGTTACCAGATTGAACCTAGGTGGGTCCACATCGTGCCGTCAGGTTTATCGGCGCACCTGACTAAAGAATTGGCTAATGACCCTCTTAGGAACCCCAGAAAGCGCAAGCAACCTGTGCTCGGGAATCCTTTCTGTACCTTCTCAACTTGCCTGCCATTTTGCATCCTCTCTTGCCTACCCTCCCATCCTTACTGCCAGTGTGCTATGTGGCCAGGTTGCGTCCCACCCGCAGCAACGGGAAAGTGGTTGGCGACAAAGGAGTGAAGTAACCGGGAAAGTCTGGTTGAAGGGAGTGAAGTAAGAATTGCATTTCTTTTGCCCTCCTTGTGTGAGCTTCAGCTTCAGCAGTTTTCATGTACCGTTCAAAGGCGTAGATGATTCCACAATCGGTGCTTGATACAAATCTGCCACTGTGAACCCATCTTGTTCTCTTGCTCTTGGAATTGTGCCATGCTCCTGCTCATACTAAGCTCATACTACTTTCCCCTTGTCCGCTTGACAGGTCCGTTGCAGGTGGACACTACGTAGTGACGAAATTACGTGTTGACAACATCCGGTCTGGAGGGACGCAGCCTCAAGTGCACGCCCTTTCCTCCTGCCTGGAGGGTGCATTCAAGGAGTGGGAAGTGAATTTCCCATGGCAGAGCATTGCAGGCAACCGGGGTCATCTGGCAAATCGGTACAGCTTCATCATGGCGATGGTGTATGGTCCCGAGACAATGATCGCGGTTTGGACAGCTGTCCAGGCCTCTGTTTCTGCGTTGGGCAACCGTCTTTACGTTGTGTCTCATCCGTACAACAACTACACACTCTGCGGGAAGCTGAAGCGGAAGCACCTGGGGTTGAGAAATTAGAGCATTGCCACTCAACTTTCCCACTTCTGGAGCCTATTGTATGCAGGGTTTCAGCTAGGATTTATGGCTGTCTGAAAATCAGACGGGGTTCCAAAGTTTCGTCTGACCATCAGACGAAAAAATTCAAGGAGTCTGAGATTTCATACGAATTTTTCCCGCATGTCTGAACATTCAGACGAAAAAATCGCCGCAAGAAACATCGCCACTTGCAATTTAGACTTCGATTTTTTCTGTTTCCTTATTCCTTGCTGACAGCCTGTTCCTACGAACGTCTTCCCAGACTTGGATCCGCCTACGAGCGCGTTCGAAGGTTCCTCGTCAAGCTAAAACCGTTTCAGTATCACTATTCTCAGCTGCTTCGAATCTGCTCGCGTCAAAATCGTACTGTACAAATGCGCGCCTGTCTCAAAAAGGCGCTCCTGAGAAGAAGTTTGAAAACAGGGCCTGAACATTGACAGTCACGACCCTGCATCAGACCACGCGGAACCGCATTCAATCGTTTTGTGTAGATTTTTTTTTGTGCGAGCCTGGCGAGCGAGCAGGCCTCTGGAAGTCAGGGTAATTACACTGCTTTGTCAAGGTAAACAGGGTGAAAATTTAACCTAGCCCTGCTTTTGACGCATTCAGAATATCGATACCCGTCCATGGACAGCCAAGCCAGAATTATCCCACAGCCAATTTCCGAGTACGGGATAGACCCGCCCTGCAAAATCTAATGTAAACGTTCGCGCCCCTAGTAAAAATATCTCCGCCTGTCATTGTCAGGGGTAGCTGATTTCGAGCTTGACGAAACTCTTGCCTGCAAATACAGTCAAACTTTATTGGGCTACCCAGCCTGGACGAGTTGGATGCCGGGCAAACTTGGAAACTGCAGGGTGACCCCTAGGATATCGAGAGGCCTGCTTGGGAGAGAGACCAGGGCCTATGTACTGTATCTGCCTACAGTACCAGGGCCTTACTCTGTTTGGCGATGAGAGACGCGCACGAAACGTAACGTGTCATGCACGAGCAACCCTCAATTTACGCACCGCCGTTGCAGGTATACTGGGGGGAGGGTGTGGGAGGGTCTTTAGCCAAAATTTCGTGGTCTAGCTGTGAGGGACTTCATTGGAAAAACATGGCTTGAGGGTTGTGTGGGGAAATGTATCTCGCAATAAGGGTCTTAGCTGAATTTTCGGGGTTGTGCGTGGTGTGTAGAGGAATGTCTCTGGTGTAAGGGACTTCGCCGAAATATTATTGCTGCGAGGGGAATTTGGAGGAATATCTCTGGTCTAGAGGACTATGCCGGAGAAACTACAAAGATATGTTTGACACACCCCCTAGACTGGATAGGGGCAGTGCCTGGTGAGAGAAAAGTAGCTCAAGGTGGAACTACTAGTCCAGCCTCTGAGGAAAGGGTCTAAAGACCAGTCAAACAAGTACAAATAAGACAAGAGCAAGACCAGGGCGGCACTACTAGTCCGGCCACTGGGAAGAGGCCACAAGGCCAGTCAGGGAAATATATATTTAAAGGACTGTACACAATCAAGGTCCTAGCAGGTGAGAGGCTACAGGAACGAGACCTAGCTGTACACAGTGCCCCAGATGATCTTTAGGCACAAGTGCCTTAGTAAAGATATCAGCTGTGTTGGCACCGGAGGCCAAGTGTACTACGTGGGCCTGGCAACGCTGCTGTAGCTTGCGCATGAGGAAGTACCGCAGCTGGATGTGCTTTGCTCTGCCCTCGAGTCTAGGCTCGTGACACAGGAGGATCATGGCCCTGTTGTCAGCGTACAAAACCGGGGTAGAGCTAGGCCGCTCACCTAGGTCAGAGAGCAAGAGGGTCAGCCAGCGGAGCTCCTGTGCCGCCAAGGCACCGGCGTAGATCTCAGCCTCACAGCTAGACTGGGCAACAGACGAAGAGCGAGTGGACCTCCACGAGATGGCACCCGAACCAAGGCTAAAGCAGTAGCACTGGGAGGACCTGAGGGTCTCAGCGTCGTCTGTCCAAGAAGCGTCTATGTGCCCAGTAAGGACCACTGGCATGCGTCCTCCCAGCAATAGCCCCATGCCCGATGTATTCGCTAGATAATGCAAAACCCTTTTAGCTGCCGACCAGTGCTGTAGTCGGCGTCTGTCGGTGGCCACAAAACAAGCCAGGATGCTGAGAGGGTATGCGAGATCTGGACGAGGGCAAGTCATCAGGTACATGAGGCAACCCACCAGCTCTGCGTAGGGACCACTAGGCTCTACAGCCTCCTCCGAGACTGGAGAAGAGAGACTGTGGTCTACTGGTTGAGGGGTGGGCTGTGCGGAAGAGAACTGAAGGCCGAACCTCTGAAGGAACTGGCGCACCAAGTGTCACTATTAGAGAGAGTGATGGTGCGCGGTGCTCTGTCCTTGGAGATCTGCAAGCCAAGGTAGTGGCGCAGCTCTCCTAGGTCAGTGCACATATGTCTCCTCAACAGCTCTGCCTTCACCGAGGCCAGCGCGTCTCTGTCTGCAGCAGCAAAGACCAGGTCGTCTACGTAGACAAGGATGTAGAATGGAGTCTGGCTTGTACAAACAAAGAGCGAGGGGTCGGCCGAGGACGAAAAGGACTGCAGGTCAGCTAGGGTAGCACGCAGCGTGTTGTGCCACTCACGGGGTGCCTGTCGCAAGCCGTAGACTGGGCACCGCAGGAGCCACTGGGTCCCAGGAGGGAAGGAATCAGTAAAGCTCTGAGGCAACGCAGGTAGACCTGCTGGTGTAGGCTTCCCTGAAGAAAAGCAATGGAGAATTCGAGGGAGTGGAGCTCGTAGTCACGCTGTGCTGCTACGTGTAGAAGTGCGCGAAGAGTAGTCATCTTCGAGGTCGAGGCAAAGGTCTGAAAGAAGTCCACCCCCTCATGCTGATTGAAGCCTCGAGCAACGTAGCGCGCCTTCAAAACAGGAGGCTCTCCAAGAGGGCGCTTCACCTTGAAGAGCCATCGGCCATCGACTACGTTCACCCCAGGTGGGGGAACTGCGTCAATGAAGGTACTAGTTGATCTCCAAGATGCCATCTCCTGCTCCATGGCAGCTACCCACTAAGAGGCCCAGGGTCCCGAGGTGGCCTCAGCGTAGGTGCGAGGGTTCTGGGTGTCAAAGGCGTTTGGGTCACCCTCAGGGACTAGCATCATGGAACAGAGATGGGGAGCGGCCTCAGAAAGGAAAGCAAGCTCATACTGCCTGTCCTCTAGGACGTCACTGCCAAGGGCAGCCACACTCCCGACGGTCAGAAGGCAGGCAGGGTCAGACCAGAGCGGTGGCGAAGTCAAGGCGGCGGGTAGCGGCGAAGTAAGTGATAACAGCGACAAGAGCCAACAGACTTGAGACAGGAACGGACAAGTTGGTAACGACAGAGGCAAGGATACGAGGAAGTCAGAGAACGGGGGCGGGGCCAGAACAAGCGACGACGGAGGAAGAGACGGGAGAAGCGGGGGCGCACGAGACACGTGAGAGCGAAGCAACATAGGGTGAGACCGCGGAACAGGGGAGGTAGGATGAGCACGAAAGGGACGACGAGACCAGATGTAAGACGGAGGAGTCGGGTTAGGAGAGAGGGGAGGAGACACAGGAGGAGAACGGGGAGGGAAACGAGCCGGAGAGGAGTCTGGGGGAGGAATCAGTGGGCCGAAGACTGGCAGAGGAGGTGGCGGCGGCAACGGGGGTGGCACCGGCACGCGGGCAGGGGAAGGAAGACCAAGGAGGCGAAGAGCGAACACGGCGGCGACGGCTGCGACTGCTGCCCGAATCCAACACCTGAACCTCCAGCGACAGCACGACTCCCTTCGAGAAGCTCCACGCCAGCACCCCCAGACCGCACGAACCCCAGAGGCGGCGGGGACGACGGCGGCTGCAGCTGTTGTTAGAAATAGACTGCAAATACCACTTTGTATTTATACTTGTATATCCTAGTTTAGGTTATGAATGTTCTAGTGCGTTGGGGTGTACTCACAAATCCCAACCTCACCCAATTGTGATCCCCCCAATCTCCAATTACCCAATTGGAGATTCCGGAGATCCTAATGGGGATTCCCTCCAATTCCCCCTTCATCCATTCACTCTCACCTTGCCATGTACTTATAGAGCTTTGGGCTCCTTACCTAATCAATCATTTTCAACTCTATTTCTTACATGGTATCAGAGCGACCTATCCGCACACGCGGATCAAGGTCCTAATCTGAACGTGCCCGCGCTACGCGCACTTCATCGTCGCGACATTCGTTTCGAGTCGTCGGAATTCCGACGTGCTCCACTCTGCAGTCACGTCTCTCATCGTCGACCGCCTTCGCGCTCGACCTAGTTGAATTTCTCATCTCTGAAGCGTTCACGCTTCTTGTCGTCGATTTCCTTCTCGGTTCTCCTTGGTCGAATCTCAATTTTGACCATCTCTTAAAACTCGTTCTCGAGTTTCCCCTCAGACCCCGCCAGAATAGGCGAACTCCCCTCACGAAATCGCCTCCACGAACGTCTCGCGTCAAGCAAGAGCAGGTACACAGGTTGAAGCGGAGCAGAGCTGGTTGCGGAGCTGGTTGCGGAGCTGGTTGCGGAGCTGGTTGCGGAGCTGATTGCGGAGCTGGTTGCGGAGCTGGTTGCGGAGCTGTGTAGCTGCGGGACAGAGCCTGGGGGTGTGTGGGGGGGTGTGTGGGTCCGGGGTTAGACATAGGCTCAGATTCAGTTTCAAGTCGGCGTTTTAACGAATTTTCGCCGATGCCATTTCCTACTTAGCGGCATTTTGATAAAGCTGTCAGAGTGATTTTCAGCAATTCTCGTCGACCAATTTCCAGAAGTGCCGCGCTGCACACTGACAATGGCTTACTCAACCACTTCACTCGCCAACCCGATCCCGCTCCTTCGTCTCGAGCCTGACGGCACATGCTCCAACTACAAGGCTTAGCGCTATGGTGTCGACAAGCACCTCCTCACTCGCGAGGTGAAGGGGCTCGAGCTCACCGACGTTCTTCTCAACATCGGTGACGGCAAAGAGCCTCCTAAACCCGAGAGGTTCGCCGATCCAGCTAATGCCACCGCCGAAGCAGTTTATGCTGCTGCACTGCTCAAGTACAAGAATTGGGAGAAGGCCGATGGTGCAGTCATTAGTGTCTTCATGGGCACCACTCCTTCCGAACTCGTCGAAACCTACCACAACTACCCGTCTGCCAACGCCATTTGGCTCTACCTCGAGGATCGCTTCCTGAACAAGACTGCA